CCTTTTGGTCATTATGTTCTTATTTGTCTCCTGAAGTTCTTTCTCTATATGCTCTAGGTTTAATTTCTTTGTTAAATCCACTGTAATTATCTTCTCCCAGGATGTTCTATCTGCTCATTTTATTTCTGATATATTTTGTTAAACACATTTTAAAAACTGTTTTATCCAAATACAATTCATACACCATACAACCCCCAATTTCAATGGTACCAGTCAGTGGTTTTAGTTTATTAATACAATTGTGCAGCCATCACCATGGTTTTAGAACAGTTCATCATCACTGTTAAATGAAGCTCTGTATACATCAGCACTAACTCCCAACCCCCCCAGTCCTAGGCAACTGCTAATCTACTTTCTGTCTCTATTCTGGACATTTCACATAAATGGAATCATACAGTAAGTGGTCTTTTGTTTCTGGCTCCTTTCACCTAGCATCATCTTTTCAAGGTTTATCCATGTTTTAGCAGTTTTAATACTTTATTCCTTTGACGGTCAAATCCCATTCCACCGTATGGATATACACCACGCTTTGTTTATCCATTCGTTAGTTGACGGACATTTAGATTGCTTCCGGTTTGGGGCTAGTATTAATCACACTGCTATAAATATTCGTGTACAAGTCTTTGTGGGAAATAGATTTTTATTTCTCTTGTTAGGCACATTTTAACCTTTTAATGTGGCCAACTTAATGGATCTTTGAAAAAAGTAATTCTTCCCAGCGCCAAGATCACAAAGATATTATCCTATATTTTACTCTCGGCCTCTCACCTTTAGGCCTGTAACCATCTGGATGAGTTGATCTTGGTTTTTTGTTTTTTTTGTGTTTTTTTTTTTTTTTTTTTTTTTTTTGTTTTTTGGGGTAGGGAGAGACTGATTTTGTACGTGATGCAATATAGGAATATGAGTCTATTTTTGTGGATTTGGATACCAGGTAGGGTGACCAACTTTCCTGGTTTGCCTGGACTCGTGGGTTTTCTGGGACGTAGGGCTTTTCACTGCTAAAACCGAGACATCTCAGGCAACTGGGTTGAGCTGGTCACCCTAATACCAAGTATCTTGGGGTTTGCTGAATAGTTTATTCTCTCTTTTGTCAAAACCACTTTTGTCCTATGTTTATCGTTTTCTGTATTTCTTTTGTCGTCTTCCATTGGTGTGGAAACTACATGTTGTACTTCTGACTAATGAAGAATACCATTAATTTCGGAAGAAAATGTAACTTTGGTCTAAGTTACTTGGTGTGTCTACCATGCACATGGGATTATTTGCTTATGACTCTGGATTTATCCTTTTTAGTGTTTGTTCATTTATTTTGGGGGAGAGAGAGTGCGAGCAGGGCAGGGACGGAGAAAAGAGAGAGAGAGAATCCCAGGCAGGCTCTGCACCGTCGGTGCAGAACCCAGCGTGGGGCTCGAACTCACGAACTACAAGATCATGACTTGAACTGAAATCAAGAGTCAGACACTTAGCCCACTGAGCCACCCAGGTGCCCCTGTATTGGCACTTTTAAACACACAATTAAATATGACATTTTAATAGCTATATTTGATCAGTCTTGTGTCCATGATTGTTACTTGTTTCCCATGACTACCCTCTGGGTTCACTTTTTCTTCCTGAAGTATATTCTTCCTTATTTCTTTTAGGGAAGGTCTGAAGGTAGTTAGCTCTCTAGGCCTTTGTATGTCTGAAAATGTCTTATGTTATCCACACTCTTGAATCATAGTTTGACTGACTTTTTCATTTTCTTCCATTCTTTGAAGACACTGCTGTCTTATATTATTTTAGTCAAAGTTATAATTAACATACAGTGTTGTATCAGTTTCAGGTGCACAACTGAACAATTCAACACTGTTTCTCATTGCTCTGTTGTCTGTTAAATACACACACAATATGTGCTACGGAAGTGTTGGCTAGGGCGATGATGCCTATGTATGGCTTTATGATTTATTTGCCGTGGCCAGTGCCGGTAGAAGCCTACTCTGGGACCTGTGGCCACCCGCTGTGTCTACTCCATCAGTCCCATACACTGTTCAGGCCATGGTCTCAGCCTTCCGTGTCCCTCTAAAGCAGCAGAGAAGGGAGGGGTGACGGGGTAAATGGGGGTCTCACCCACACCAGGATATCCCTGCACGTCTCTCGCACAATCAGCTTTAATTAGCTCACTGAAACTGATTAGCAGAGTGAAGGCTGGAAGGTGGGGCCTAAACGTAGTCCCTTCACCATTGGCGGGTATCCTCCCTGGATACCCACGTGTGGAGGGTGTGCCACCCGTGCTTCCCCTCCGGTTTCCAGCCGAGTCCTTTAGACGCCCCTTGGGGCTGAAGCCTTGCCTTGACCAAGCCAGACCGCTTGGCTCCTGCCAGCCCCATCTCCCCCATATTCCCACCTGCTGTATAGACCAACCACCCACCACCGTGGTTCCATCAGTCCTTGGAGTGTCGTGTTGCCGGCTCCCATCTACCAGATTGGAACTTCCTGGAAGTTAACGCCGGCCCAAATCAAGCAAGAGATCAAACTCTCCTGGACATTTAATTTCAGCCTCCACTGGCTTTACCCCAATTATAACGGTCCTGTCACTGTTCTCGATCAGCTACACTGTCACCTGGTCGTCTTCTCCACTGGGGAGTGAGGTCTTGGCTCAACATAAATTTACAATAACTTAATTTCCAATAATCTTAATTGCCTAAAGTCAGGCACACATTTGGTGGGCAATAAGCACTTTTCATAGTCACGATTTCAGAAATGCCACCTAAAGTTCCTACGATTTCTAGGTGTAAATTGTATACACTTCTCCAGAACTTTAACAGGGACTCAAATGGTCAAGGATATTTTATATTCAAGTTGTGTCTCTCTCTTTTTAAGCAAACGCTGTGTATCTTCCTGTACCAGTAAGTTATCTTGTGTTTTTACGTTTTTCTCTCTGTTAAGCATAGATTTTGACATTTCTCTTTATTGAAAATTGAAGTTGATAAAAGAGAAGCAGAAGATAAAAATCCATGCTCTCTCTACTTAACCTTTTAGACCCACCGTGACTTCGAACACTTCTACCAAGCCTTTATTACCAAGTAGAGTGCCTGAGTTCATTCCTTTCTAACCATCTAGTTACTGTTTTTGCCCCCAAAGTAATATTTTATCACCAACCGCCTTAGATTATTCTTTAGTTGTTTAACACACTAAACTGATTTCAGGGATTTGAATAGAAAGTCCCTTAAAAGCTAGGATACATGGCCCCTTAGTGTGTGTGTGTGTGTGTGTGTATGCATATGTGTGCATGTGTGTATGTATGTGTATATGTGCATATGTGTGTGTGTATGTGTGTGTGGCTCTGTGTGTGGATGTGTCTGTCTCTGTGTATGTGCGTGTATGTTTATATGCATGTATGTGTGTACATGTCTCTGTGCACGCATGTATGCATGTGCATGTATGTGTGTACATGTATGCATATGTGTATGCATGTGCATGTCTCTGCGTATATGTGTCTCTCTGTGTGTATGTGTATATGTATGTGCATGTGTATTTGTATATGTGTCTCTGTGTATATATGTGTATGTGTGTGTATGCATGTATGTGCATACATGTATGCATGTATGTGCATATGTGCATGTGTTTATGTCTCTGTGTATGTGTGAGTGTGCATATGTCTCTGTGTACGTGTATATATGTGTGTCTGTGTGTCTCTGTGTATATATGTGTGTATATGTCTGTGTATGTATGTATGTGCATATGTGTATGTGTATATGTGTCTGTATGTGTATATCTGTGTGTATGTGTATGCATATGTGTGTGTGTGTCTCTACGAGTGTGTATGTGTGTGTATGTGTCTCTGTGTGTATATATATGTGTATGTGTGTGCATATGTATATGTGTCTCTGTGTGTGTGCATGTCTCTGTGTATGTGTATATATGTGTGTATATGTGTCTGTGTATGTGTGTATATGAGTGCATGTGTGTGTGTGTGTGTATGTGTCTCTCTGTGTGTATGTGTGTATATATATGTGTGTATGTGTATATATGTATCTCTGTGTGTGTATGTATGTATGTACGTATGTATATGCGTGTCCCTGTGTATGTATGTGTCCCTGTGTGTATATATGTATACATGTGCATGTCTCTGTGTATACGTGTGTGTATGTCTCTGTGTGTGTGTGTCTGTGTCCCTGTGTGTCTGTGTCTCTGTGTGTACGTACGTGCGTCTGTGTGTGTGTATGTGTCTGTGTGTGTCTCTGTGTGCGTGTGTATGTGTCCCTGTGTGTGCGTCTGTGTCTCTGTGTGTATGTATATGTATATATGTGTCTCTGTGTGTATGTGTGTGCACATGTGTCTATGTGTATGTGTGTATGTGTATATATGTATGTATCTGTGTGTATATATGTGTCTCTGTATGTGTCTATATGTGTATGGGGGTGTGTATGTGTCTCTGTGTGTGCATATGTGTACATGTATGTGCATGTGTGAATGTGTCTATGTATCTCTGTGTGTATGTGTATGTGTGTATATGTGAGTATGTGTGTGTGTCCCTGTGTGTATGTATGTATCTGTATATGTGTGAATATGTGTGTGTGTCCGTGTATGTATGTGTCCCTGTGGGTATATATGTGCGTGTCTGTGTGTATATGTGTGTGTCTGTGTCTTTGTGTGTGTATGTGTATGTGTGTATGTGTATATATGTGTGTGTCTGTGTCTCTGTGTGTGTGTGTCTGTGTCCCTGTGTGTATATGTGTGTGTCTGTGTGTGTGTGTGTCTGTGTCCCTGTGTGTATATGTGTGTCTGTCTCTGTGTCCCTGTGTGTGTGTGTCTGTGTCTCTGTGTGTGTCTGTGTCCCTGTGTGTCTGTGTGTGTGTCTGTGTCTCTGTGTGTGCGTCTGGGCGTGTGTGCGTGTCGTCCTTCAGAGATCCCGTATCAGCGGCAGGCACGCAGTGCTGTCTAGAAGGAATCGCAAGCTGGCACTACTCAGGGGCGCCCCCTCCCGGTCGGCGTAGTGACGACAGCGGCCCAGGGCTTACCAGGAACAGCTACAGCAGCAGCACCAGCAGAAGCAGCAGGCGTTGGAGCCGCGGCTCCCCGCTCCGTGCTGGCCCGGCGCGGGGCCGGTGGTCTCCTGGGCCGCGGGCATCTGCCGTTTCCGCACCTCCGTCCGCTCGGATCCCACGGGCTGCAACAGCGCAAGGAGAAGGGGAGGGGGCGGTTACCGCCACCCAAGGCCAGGGAGTCCGCTGTGTGGACCGCCGAGAAGATGCACCGTGTCTCTCCCCACGTCATCTCCGCCAATTCTGGCCAAACCTGCTGCTTTTAATCCGTGAGTATCGCCAGCATTCACGCATGTCTAGCACCTGCCAAGCTCTGTGAAGAGACTGATGAGTGGAGGGTCCCCGCCCTAACGCCCCCGGGTCAGTGGGGGGCGTCAGACGAACACTCACAGCACCTACGTGACCACGTGGCGGCGGGGTCTACACGAGGAGGGCGTTTCTCAGCCTGGGCGGTCCCTCCGGGCTGAACCACAGGGGCGCAGCCACAGCCGACAGCTGAGCTCCGGATGCCCACGAGGCCAGAACACGGACGTGGGAGGAAGCCAGGCCGAGATGTCAGGCATGCTACCCAGGCAGGAGGAGGAATTGTCCCAAGAGGGAGGCCACAAGTCCCGACACCCCACTGACAAGACAGTCAAGTCTTAACTCGCTGCGAAACCTTGAAGAAGCTACCCGCCTTGGGTATGCGCAAAGCCCTCGGCCTCTGCCTGCTAGTGAGTGTTGGGCAACTATTCCCAGGAAGCGAGGGAGGGCTGTGGCCTGTGGCCTGCTCTGACCTATCCTGGCATCTGCGGGGACGGTCTCCTTGGCCCACCTCAGTGGAGATCAGGCCACTGTAGGCGACGTCTATGCCCCTCAACCTCTCCTCTTCCCGAGGACCACAAGAGTGGTTGAAGGAGACACGCAAAAAAGCGGGGGAAGAATGAGAAATTGCTGGGTGCGCTTTTGCGTGTGATACTATCATTCATTTGTTGGTGAAGTAAGAAGCGAAAAAATACCAAAGCTACATTAAAGAACCTTAAAGAGGCCTTTGGGATTAAATTCTGCATGTGTTACTCTACTCCAACACTAGATTTAATCTCTTCCTACTGTGACCTATTCTTATATTCTATTGAACTTTGTCTTAATTATTATAGTTTCAGTGTATGTTTTTACACTGGGGAGGTGAAGTTCTCTTCATGAATTACAAAAAATTGTTTCTGGCTATTCAGGTCTTTTTTCATCCAGTTGAATTTTGGAATCAGCTTTTCAAAGTCCAGAAATAGCATGTTGGGGTTTTAATCAGGACCACACTGAACTTATAGATAGATTTATGGGAAATGACATCTGCTGTAAAGTAGGCTTCATGCCCAGTGCAGAGCCCAACTTGGGGGGGCTTGAACTCACAACCCTGAAATCGAGACCTGAGCTGAGATCAAGAGTTGGTCGGTCCACCGACTGAGCCACCCAGGCGCCTTGGTAATTGTTATTTTCTAAGAGATACTGATGCAACTTGCCTCGTTAAAAAAAAAAAATTCCCAATAGCTTCCCAGAAGAAGAAAGGATTATGACGTGGTAATGTCAGTAGGTTTCAAGGGACTATGTTTCCAACATCTTTGCCAACACTGGGTCTCCCCAATCAGTACCGGATATATTTGTTCATTTAGAGCCCGTCTTCTGTATATTTTAAAGGCTTTCCTCCAATAAGTCGTGCATATTTTTGACAGGTTTATTTTGAGTATGTTATAGATTAGTTTTTGCTGCTGTTGTAAACAGTAAGCTTCTAAATAGTTATTTTGGTGCATAGGAAGGCTAAGTGTTCTATACCTGCCTTCCTGCTGAATTCTCTTATGAATTCTAGTATTCTTATGAATTCTTTCTACTGATTCTCTTGGGTTTCCTAGTTGAATGATTATACTGTCTATAAATAGTCACACTTGCCTGTTTACTTTCTATACCTTTCCAAGTACAAGCATCTTTCTTCTCCTTGGTCTTATTTCACTGGCCAGGAAGGTTCCATAAATATTGAAAGTAGCAGTATTATTAGGTAACTTTGTCTTCTTTAATTTTTAAAAATGTTTTATTATTTAGTTTTGAGAGAGAGAGAGAGAGCGAGAGACAGAGCATGAGCCGGGGAGACACAGAGAGAGCGGGAGACACAGAGTCCGAAGCAGGCTCCAGGCTCTGAGCTGTCAGCAAGAGCCTGATGCGGGGCTCGAACCCAGGAACCGTGAGATCATGACCTGAGCCAAAGTCGGACGCTGAACCGACTGAGCCATCCAGGCGCCCCACCTTTGTCTTCTTTAATGACAGCCCTTTGCCCACGTGTCATGTGTGCTGGGGGTTTCCGGGAGAAGATAACTTCAAGGATTGAAGCAAACTTCCTTCTATCATTTACATAGTACAACATAAGTTGTGCCTGCCTATCTTATTAGTTAACATGTTTCATTTGTTTGTACATGCCTCATTTGTTAAATCTCGGGAAGATTTTTAACGATTTAGTGAGCAAACAGTGAGAGAACATCATCTGGTTGCTCATGGCTAAATACAGTCTTTAGAAATCAAAGGCAAATGTCATCGATGTCTGTTACACGTTTTTGAAAACAGCTTTATTGAGGTGTAACAGACATACAGTCTGCACATGTTTAAGGGATAGAATTGTAAGTTTTGGCATGTACATGCCTGTGAAACCGCCGCCACAATCCAGACCACATTATCAACTGCAACCTTCCTCACACCCTGTGTGCGTCCCTCCCTCTGGCCCCTCTCTCCTGCTCCTGACCATCACTCACCTTTCTCCCACCATATGCCAATTTGCATTTTCAAACAATTTTATACAAACGGAATATTTTTTGTCCGGCTTCTTTTTTTTTTTTTTTTTTTTTTTCAACGTTTATTTATTTTTGGGACAGAGAGAGACAGAGCATGAACGGGGGAGGGGCAGAGAGAGAGGGAGACACAGAATCAGAAACAGGCTCCAGGCTCTGAGCCATCAGCCCAGAGCCTGACGCGGGGCTCGAACTCACGGACCGCGAGATCGTGACCTGGCTGAAGTCGGACGCTTAACCGACTGCGCCACCCAGGCGCCCCTTGTCCGGCTTCTTTCAATCAGCATAACTATTCTGCGATGGGTTATGTGTATCAATCATTCATTCCTTTTGTAAAAATTTCTGAGCAGTATTCCATTGTCTAGAGGTACACAATTTGCTTATCCATGTACCTACTGCTGGACTTTTGTCATATATATATATATATATATGACATTGTCTTCTTTTAAAAAATTTTTTAATGTTTATTATTTTGTTTTTGAGAGAGAGAGACTGAGTGTGAGCGGGGGTGGGGCAGAGAGAGGGAGACACAGATCAGAGGCAGACTCGAGGTGCTGAGCTGTTAGCACAGAGCCTGACATGGGGCTTGAACTCACGAGCTGTGAGATCATGACCTGAGCCGAAGTCGGACGTTACCCGATGGAGCCACCCAGGTGCCCCAAGACATTGTCTTCTTTTGAACATGGAAGTCTTTCATCAGACAAGATGAGAAGTGTATGTTGCTGAGATGATATTAAAATTTACAGCATGGGGTTCAGTTGGAACATGTTTCTAGTTTGTTCTTCCACATTGAATAATACTTGATGATTATGTTTAGTATTTCTATTGGACTAGTCATGGTTGTTAACCATTTTCCTAACTTATAATTCCTTTCTTTTCTCAGTGTTCCACATTTCAATTCATCTTTGTAGCTTCAACTTGGTCTCATAATCTATTTAATTTTTCCTCCATCTAACGTTAGGAGTTCTTGTATGGTTTCTTGGAAACCTTACATGTGGTTCAGTAATTTTGACATCTTGAATCACTTAAAGCTTTGGATAAACAAGAAACATATGCTATTCCTATAAAATCTACAAATGACCTATGCCCTCTTAGCTCCAAAATTTCTAGATGAATAGCTGATGATGAATGATGGATGGTTCAATAATTTTGACATCTTGAATCACTTAAAGCTTTGGATAAACAAGAAATATATGCTATTCCTATAAAATCTACAAATGACCCATCCCCTCTTAGCTCCAAAATTTTTAGATGAATAGTTGATGATGAATGATGAAATCCTAGATGAATGGTTTTCACTCGATCACTAGACACTGGAGTGTTGGGTGGAGGGAGCGGTTAGCCTTGACGATTTATGCCCTGCTGAGCGTTGGTGGAACAGGAGAGTGTGAGAAAAAGCAAACAATGCTAATAAAATCTGAATATTAAGGATCGGCAACATGTTGATAATTGTTGAAGCTGTGTCATTAACACGTGGACTGTGTTGTACCTTCCTCTCTACATTTCAGTAGGCTTGAAAATTTTCTTTAATAATTTATTCTTCAAATTTAAAATGTTGAATTCTATCACAGTTACAAATCTATTGAGAATATGAATCTATTAAGAATATGAATTCCCTCCTCTGAATAGTTGATGAAGTAAATTAAATTAATGAATTTCTTAATTTTGAATCACCCTTCCCTTACTAAGTAAACTCTTCTTGGGTCTAAAAGATGGTTACTCTTATATTATACTGCTGGAATGGATTAGGTTAATATTTTATAAGGGATTTTAAAAAATCTGTCTGTCTATCTATCTATCTATCTATCTTTATTAGGAAATTATTTTCGTCCTGACGATTTGCAGTTTGCCTGTAAAATTACTGTAATCTTGTAAGAGTGGCTGGTAGATTATGTTTGCAATTTCTTCTCTGACTTCTGTTCTTCTTCAGCTTCTTTCTTTGAGCATCAAACACATGAATTAAATGGGTTCGACCTATTTACAAGATTTTTAAAATAAACCATGGGTATGAATTAGCTCAGCCAGTCTTTCATATGATGACATACGGTCTGATCGGCCAAACTAGCTTCATGGATCTTTTTTTCCTTTGCCTTCATCGTATCTGTGGCAGAACTCTGTACACATTTCATTTCCATTTGTTCTTCCCAACTAACATGGAATCAGCGCTTCTTCATCATGGCTACTGTCTTCTTCTTTTGGTAGGTGCCTGGTATAGACTGCTGGGCATCACTTCAGTGTCTGTTTGGGAGACTCAAGCATAGCACAGGCATAATGCCCCAGTAGCTGGCTGCCTTTGCCTGAGGAGTTCTATGAGTGCA